ACTTCATACACAAGTCTAAGGTTCTGCAGGAAAGAAATTATCTTTGGTATCTGCATCAGGCGAATATTATTAACATTTGGATTTTGCTTTGGGATAGAGCTTGTATGACCCTAGAACCAAACACCCCCCAACCCCCAATCAACTGAGATTAAAAAGATCCATGTAAAAAGTTCCTTCATTTGCAATCCCCCCACCCCCCCCAAAGTTAAAAAGTCACAGGCATCTACCTAGCACGAAAGGTTGAGAAATACAATGCATAGTTGCACAGTAGGGCTGCAAAAAAGAGAGAGAGGGAGTAAAAAACCAAAGAAATGAGAAGCTCTGATCATCTTTCATTGTGATTTCTCACAAACAGGGCAGCTGCTTTCTAGCAGATGCAGTAATGAAATTAAAACATACAACCAAACGAGCCCTTGGACGTGCCCCCAGCCCTCGGCAAAGCAGCCGGGCCTGCCCCGGTGCTCTGGACTCTTCATGCTGTGCAGCGCCGCCCCCCCCCCCCCCCGTGACTGCCCACATCCCCCAGTGCCTCCCCAGGTCTCTGTGGCTGAAACCTGGCTGCTGTAGGACAGATTCTGTCAGGTTTTGTCTATTTTTAAAAACTGGGAGCAGCACATTCCCCTCAAGAGTAGAAAGCTGGCAAAATGGCTTTCTATCAACTCTGCCCTGGAAAACTGCTGAACAACCTTAGCCCATGGAAAGGATTTTTTGTTTGTTTTTTTTTTTTCTGAGCCAGCTAGGAGTCCCTCTGCCTTCCTCCCGCCCAGCTCCCTCAAATGCCAGACCGCATCCCAGATTGGAACAGTGCTGAAGACTCCCCTTTTCTTTGGTTTGTTTGTTTTGAGTTTATACAATCATTAAGAAATCTTTGGTTTTGGCTGGAAATTTTTAAAAGAACAAAACAAAACAAAGAAACCACCCTCCCCTGGCTTATAGCAGCAGTATCACGACCTGGCAAAGCTTTTCTCTCCAATGGGGGTGGGGGGGGACAGGGCGGGGGGGATGTACATTCAAAGAAAAGGTGAAAGGACTGAGGATGCAGCTTCTAGACCGCCCGTTGGATATAAGATTGTCAAATAATAATAATAACAATAATATTAATAATAATAATAAAATTAAATATTTGGATTTTTTTGGTCATGTCAAAGAAAAAAAAGTGGAATGCGTATGCAGCAGTCAGCTGGGAGGAGTCTTTGATGTCCTTTCTTGGACCCCTGAGGCCTCCCGGGGAAGGGGACAGCCCCCATCCCAACAGGGAAAAGGCATTGTATCCTTTAAGCAGGACTGGCAGGATGGAAGAGCTGGGGCAGTGGTGGAGACACAGATGACTCATCAGCCCTTTGTAGTGGGGTAGGAGGGAAGTGGATGTTAAAGGCCAATGCAGGGCTGAGAAGACCCCTGGGAACCAAAGGAAGTAGTACAAGATTGCAATTTGCCCTCAGTTTGCAGTAGCTTTGAAGCAGCGACATTCGGAGGCTTCGGGGGTCCCAGCCTAGGCTGCGGGTGACATGATGCTATAGGCCAGAGCTCAGCAGAACTCCAGGGAAGGAGGGTGTCCTTGGCACCTCTGTGGGGTTTGGAGAAAATTAAAGCTAGATACTCAGTCACGAGTTAGAAATGAGGTATACGAGAGCTTCTGTGCTGGGCGGAGACATCGGCCCACCCTGAGTCACCTCTCCTTTTGCCTCTACCACAGATGAAGGGAATGGAACTACCTACAGGCTTTTAGTGTCGGGAGGATCACTCTTCCAAAAGCAGGATATTGTGTGGGTGCCTTAACCCATTTCCCACTCAGGCAGAGACCAGGCTTTGATGGGAGTCCGTTTCTCCATTTAGCTGAAGAGGGGAGACCCGGCACCTACCAACTACTACCATCGGCCCCCTTTCAGAACTTCCTTTGCTGTCCTAAGCCCAATGAGGTCAGCATGGTCCACTTTACTCCCTTCTGCCTAGTCATCCAAGAAAGGGGGCCCAGTGCCCAGGTCCTCCTGGCTTTTCAAATGGACACTGTCATTTTAATTTCTGGTGTACATTTTTCCTCCCTCCCTCTCTTCAATTCTTTTACTCCATAAGGGGACAGGGAAGGTGGAAAGAAAGTACGAATCATTCCCTATCCGTGGCTCTGTCCTTTTCCACCTGAAAGACACCCCAACTCTACGAAGCTAAAGGACTGGGATGTTCACTTCATAGCCTGGCTTTTGACAGCACAATATTCAGCTGAAGAGCTTGAGACTAAACACCACGGCCAAGTTAGCTGAAGAAACCCTAAGCTGTTTCTAACGTGGTCTTAAAAAAGACACACATGTAAATACAGAAAAAAAATATGGGAGGGGGGACTTTACAGCAGATTTGAATCATCTTTGAGATCTGAAACCTTTGACAGTGTCCTGTTTTGGTAAAAGAGAAGGTGTGCCCTGTAGGAGGTGGGCAGATCCTAGGACATTAATATTCAGCTCTACCCCACCTTTCTCACCAGGTAAGTTCCATTTCCTTCCTCAGATTTGTTTTGGGTAAAGCACACCTAGTTTTTCCACATCTTTTGTTTCAAGTGCTCTTATCTTTGAGAAGTCATTTCTTCAAAATCCCTATTACCTATCTACAACCCTAGCTAGCTCTCTGCAAAGTCACACAACATAAATACCACTTTTACATACTGTCAGAACAGTCGGTCTTTGAATCAGTAAAGCTTTCAAGGGAAATCCCGTCACTGAGTCAGAGGGGAGCAGTCAGTCCATTTCTTTTTACCCTCTCTCCTCTTCTATGCTTCAACAGCACACCAGACAAACTAACCACTCAGCTCCAATCACTGTCCAGAGAGAACTACTTTTCCCAAGCAAACTGCTGCTATGTGGAAGAATAATCTTGTAGTTTCCAACACAGTCCTCAACAGTCCATGATACTTTTTCATAAAATGCAGCAAGAATATATGAATGTCGTCTGAATTCCAACATATTGTGCTGGTTTTATTTCACCAGGTGTTAGATGACAGGGAAAGAAGAAAAAGATACAGAAAGATTCTCTCCCTTGACCAAGCTTCCCAGCAATTCTACGACTACCACTGTGACATGGAGCACTAACAATCTGTCTTCACTGGGCCAGAGAACTGTACCAAAATAAACTCTTTCCTGAAGCCAGAAGAAATTCACAAGGTGTCCGAAAGGGGAAAAAAGGTGGATAGCGGTGGGCTAAGGGAAGGATAGAAACAAAGCTTTTCTAAGGTCCAGCTTTTCCTTCTTTCCTGCTCTGCCTGTCCTGAAAACAGCAGGGCCAACAATGGCCTATTTGTTTTCCAACCACAATGAGAAGGATTTTCTCTAGAACCTGGCCTTTCTAGGCACATACATAACTGAGGGACTCCAGTTGAGGTACACTAGAGTGAGGATGGAAAAGATCCTTAATTCTTTCCAAATAAGCATCAGACTGTCCCCTCAACGTCCTATACCTCATGCCAAGAGAATGCCACAATAAAAATTTCTTCTACAATAAAAACCACTCCTCTGACAGCTCAACAAGTTAGGTCTCTTAAAGATGATATCTCACAGCTAGTTGTCAGACTGCTTGGGGTACACCAGTCAGGTGTGCTCAGCTGTGAAGTGCAGGTTAACTTTCACTCCTTAGTTTGGATTTTTGTATTTTTGGCCTAGAAAGAATTAGCACTGCTATTAGAAAAGGAAATATAGTTTTAAAAAATGTTCCACCTATCTGCTCTACAAGCACTACATTCAGTATCAGGACAAAAGGGGATAAAAGGAATCTGTTTTACTTTCAGTTTCCCATTTAGGTTAAGCTACAACCATTCGTCCACTTTCTACCTTCCTCAGATTAAACAATGTATTTCTATTCTTCCATACACACACACACACACACACACATACACTCACTCACTCACTCACTCTCTCTCTCTCTCTCTCACACATTCACTCTCTGTTGCCTAAGCTTTAGATCCTTACAGAGATAATGATTCATTTGGAGGGGCAGGAAGAAAGGAGAAAGTGAAAAGGGAAGGAGAGATGAGTGTGTGTGTACCTCTGAGGACCCTGAACCCATGCCACCCACTCTATCAACCTGCATGCCACCATGTGCTATGCTGCAGATTAACGCCACAGAGAAACCAACCTAATTCCAATCACAGGAGTGACAGTTTCCTTTGGCAAGACAGGAAAAAAAAAATCATGAGCAACACTTTCCTTCGAACATAATCAACTCTCTTTCCCCTACCCTCCCAACCCCATCAAGTTGTAACCTATAAACAGGATCCAAAATACATACAGCATAATTATGTTTATCAGTCATAACAAACATCAGTTCAACTAAACTCTACGGCTAGAATTATCTCCACTATTTATTTATAAAGGTTGATTTCTTCTTTTTCTGATTTTTTTCAGTTTAAAATCAGTTTTGCAACAATGCTAAGCTATGCTGAGGTATTTAATGAAGGTGCCAGAAACTAGCTGCTTCCCATATACATTATCCTCACAGCCCTACAGTACTATCATTCACAGAGAAAAGGGATACAAGAACAAGAGGAAAGGGAACCCAAGGCCATTGAAATCAGGGATTCTCCAATCAGCTAGCAAACGTCCTACAAGAAGATTCATCAAAGATAACTAACTGCTTCAATCGATGACCAAAAACATAGGGATTAAAGCAATGAGATGCTGCCTGCATAGAGAGAGTTAGAGGAAAACAACAGTTCATGTATGACAAAGTAATTTGGATCGAAAGCAGCCCACTGAGAACCAGCAGAGAGCCTTTCCTCTCATTGTGAATTAGCTATAATTGCAATGCGTCTTTCCAAATTCCTCTAGATGAAATCACAGGGTAGTCCAGTAGGGTCTCTTCTGCCTAACAAAAAAAAAGAACCCGATCCAGTCTAAGTCGGCTTCTGAATCAGTCACTGATTTATTCCATGCCTGCTCAAGTTTACATTGGAAATAGGAATTCTGTGTGCCTTCATCTGGACAAAGGATAGATACTCTGTATCTGACCTTTGTTAGGACTGAATCATGAGAAAAAGGATGGTAAAGAACAAGTGAATTCCTCCTCTTCTGTGGCAGTGAATCTTCTACAAGGTTCTATCTATCTCCAGGTTTTACAGGACTGAACCTAAGGGAGATGTTTGCAAAATGACTGGTGTTTACTCCTGGAAATGTCAAGACTTGAATATTTTTCTCAAATGGCTAAGTTGCAATTAAATTAATAGAGTGTGAACTCACCTCTGTTGAGGTCATTCATTTTCAAGTCTTTTTTCCTCTTTCATCAACTTTTCAGACCTTTTGAAAAATTACACTACATGTTTTTGCTCATTTTACCTTTGATTGACAGGGGGAGAGAAATAAAGCTGAAGTTCATTTCAGAGACTCTCAGAGGGGCTTTGAATAACCTATCATACTTAATTCTTTAGATCTCTTTCTAAACTATTTCCTAAAGTGAGGATTCGTCTTGGAAAACTATTAGTGGTTTACAGAGACCAGAACAGCCTTACAGCACCCCCTCTCTTTTCCTAATGATTTCCCCTCACCTGCTTTTCTGCTTACCCTTCCCAGACAGTAATCTCCTCTCCCCTGAAAAAACAAAAAAACCAACAAAAAAAACCCAACCCACCACCAACAAAAAAACAACAATATGAAAAATCCCTATACACTTAAGATTTTCTTTTTGGGGAAAAAAGTTTTGAAAGGTTCTATGAGGCTGAAAAGGGTGGGGAATTGTCCTTAACTTTAATCCACAAATAGTTCTGTCAGTATATTTTCTATCACATGGAAATGATTCCTATTAGGCTTAAGAATTTTAAAAGTTTACAATAATGTTTTCTAGTTTTGCAATGGATACAATTTTAACCAGCAGATTAAGTGATAATTTTAATGTTATATGTTGGGTCCTAATTAAAAACTGAATTAATTTGCTATGGTTCTGGGAAATTTAGGCCCAGGCTTTAACCTATTTTCCTGAATAACTGAAAATTATTGGCTACACATATTCCTTGAGCACAGCCTGAAGCTCACTGCCTCTTAGATATCCCCCAGAAGTAAGTATGCATAATTATACTTGTTTGGTATGTATTATTTTTAGTAAGCTGTTAAATTATTTTTAACAATGCTAATTAGTGAGGCCCAAGTTTTACAATTATGCTAGATAATCTCACTAGAAATACTTGTCAGTTAAAAATCACTCTCTTCTTGGGATTAGCAATTTTTAAAGATGCTACAATATATATATTTCACATAGGCATGACCACACCACATATTAGAGATAAATTCTTTTAGATGCACTCTTTCAGGGGTAAGGTGAGCAAATGGATTTGACTCACAGAGAAGACTCTTATCAGGCAAATTAATATTTCAACTAATAGAATCCCATGACTATAAAACAGTGACAATTTAGAATCAAACCACTAATAGTTTATATCTGTGTGAACAGTTAAATGGCCTCTATTCTGAGTACCAAATGAATGGCACATTACAAACCAATTAAAGATGACTTTTAAATGAAAAATTATATAGGTCTAGACAATAACTTAGAATGTTTAGAAGCATGTGTGTGTGTGTATATAAAATTTAACAACAACAAAAAAGCAGTGTGCTTTATTTTTTAATTCTTTTGTAAAGTTATAGTCCCAAATAGGAATGATTATTAAAAAAAAAACCTTTCATAATTTTCCCCCCTTTCTCACAACTATTTTCCTGAAAAAGTAGAGGAATGTTCAAGTGGGAGAAATCTAAAAATGAATGCTCTTCATAAGGAACCAATTTAATTTCAGAAAATGTGTCAATAAAAGCATCAAACATAGACATGGCATAATAAAATTCCTAGGCTACCATTACATTACACCTTTAGTGGCTAAATGGAAGGATAATGTGGTATATTTAGGTCACTTAAAAGTTCATTTTAATGAGGTTTAACTTTGATGTCAAAGTGTACAGATCAAAGTACATTTCACCCTAAGTGGTGATCTAAACAAAGGGTTTTAGGGGCTGTTCAAAACATCTGACTTTCAAAAAGTGTTTGGAATCAATTGGCTGAACTTTTACTGGAAACATCATCCAAATACTTTATCCAGAAAAAGTCCATCAAGAGAGATTATCCATTCTTCTTTTCTATATTTCATATATTGTTCTGTGTGCATCACATGTTATCTAATATGCCAAGTACAAGCAATGATAATGGTCAATTTTTATTAATTTGGGCTCTTTTCATCCAGCTACAAATCTCAAATAGGATTACTCCATTATATCATTCCAAATTTCAAAAGCCTAATGTATATGGCACTGAATTTTCTTCCCATTACTCATATAGCTTGTTCACTCAATGAATTCAAGGCATCATGAAATCTAACTAAACAACCCTGTGTGTGCTTCGTGTCAGAGACCAAATGTACTGTGAAGAAAAGTCAATGCTGCATGTATCAGCCCTAATGCTGGGAAAGATTCATCCAACAGGCTATACAAGAAGGCAAATGAGTTGGCTATTTCATGCTTTTCCAGCCATTAGCAGAAGAATTTGAATGTTGGGCACTTGGTTATATCCTTCAGCTAAATCAAAACAACCAAGCATGTTATGAAATTACCTGCTATGCATGATACTCACTCCTAATATTAATTTTATGAATTCAAAGAGTTTATATGTTATGTAAAGAGGATTTCCATCTCTGTTCCATAAAAATGAAAATGAATATACCCTGAGAGATTTGCTTTCCTGACATCAGTCATAAATACTCCCTCTATAATTCTACCCAAATTTACTGTGTTTACAGGGCCCACATATTTCCTATTAAACTCACTCCTCCTCCCAGTTCTGTGCTGAGAAAACTTCTTGAAATCATTTCACTAAGCATAAATGCTGGTAACTTGGCCTCTTTTCCATGTTGAAATGGGTTCTGACCTTCTTCTTTCTTTATGCTCTTACTAATTATATTCAGGGATTTTAGGAAGCAATACCAAACATAAAACAAAAAACAAGCCTAATTCTGAGCAAATGGACCTAAATAGCAATTTTTCTGTCATGTTTCACTTTCTCTATATTTTAAGAAGCCAAAATACTTTCAAAGGATGTAAATAGGATATGATTAAATAAATTAATTCCAGTTCTGCAGTATGAAAAGTGGGAGCACAATAAAAACAGAAAGTCCTGATGTTTATCATCAAATTTAAGAGAAAAAATCCTGATAGGTAGCAATGGTAGATGAAGGAGAATTTGTAAAATTAAGAATTTTTTTTCTTCCAAGAAAATATATATTAAACCAGCCTTGGGCATTAGAGGGGACAGAAAAAAAATTTTCATTCTAAAAAGTGACTCTCCATCTGAAGTCATGCTCTCAGCAATCTTTGTTTTTTCTTACTTGTTAAGAAAAATACTATTTATTCTAAACTTCATGTCAATGCCCCAAATTTTCAAAATCCAATTATAATAGTATTGCCTTTGAGTTTTCTCATACTTATTTCAAGATCACACATTGATATGTTTAAGTTAAAATAGCAATTGTGAATTCCAAATTTTAACATTGGTCCTATTAAAAAATTTCATTTGAGCACAGCTATCCTTTCTCCAGTCCTTCTGTTCCACTTTTAGACTGATGCTGGAGGTGAACAAAATTCATGATCAAATTTTACTTTTGATAGAAAACAGAATACAAGTATACTGATGGATACAGGCATTTAAGAACTAGAGAAAAGCTTAAGAATTAAATAGTGAGGGTTCAAATTAAAGTTTTGTAAGTAGGAAGGAAAGGGAGAAAAAAATAACTTAGAATCTGAGTCCTAATAAGCTAGTTCCAATCATTTTCTTGGTAGCAGAACTAGACAAATACACCAGGCATCAATTCCTGCACAGGCAGCTCCTTTGAACTTTTAGAACTTCCATAAAAAGTGAAGGAAAAAAAAAGGTTAGGGGATACTTCAATAACATTTCTAGAATGCTATGAAAAATAATAGTATAAAAAAAGTCTAAACTGGATCAAGAAAGAGAGAGTGTGTGTGTGTGTGTGTGTGTGTGTATACACAAAGAAATGGAATTTAAAAATAAAACACCTGACAAACTATATTAGTGTTCTAGATATATTATTTATCAAGCTAACTCTCCCTCTTATAACTCATGTTGAAACAAATGAGGAAGAAGTTTTTTAAAAGTTATTTTGTTGCCAATGATATAGTCCTTTAAAACCACAGAGATTTCCTATGCTGGCTTAAGGCCTATGTTATTAGTGGTTCCCTAAATAAAAAGCACAATCCCTTTATCCCAAATGAGAATAAAGAGGGCACTGATAGTGCAGGAGAGAAAAGACCATCATATCAGTTACTTAAAGCTTAGCATTACCCTCAAAAAGAAAGTCTACTGGTGAATCTTATTGGGTGAAGGGTATTTTTTGAGACTCAAATACAAAGCAAAAAATTCATTAACTTTTTCTATCCTCTTAATTCACTGGACTCGAGTCCCTGGGGATTTATCTCCTTTGGTAACAACTATGGAAAACTAATGACATAACCTCTAAACCAATATGGTGAGGTATTCAGCATCATCCTCCCTGAATCCTTCCCTCCTCGTTTTTGCCACTCCCAAAGGAGAGGCCCCATTATTACTGTGGGAAACTACAGTACTCACAGCCCTAAAAATATCTGCACAGACTAAAACCATAGATGTTAAATCTCAACAGAATATTCAATTTATCCACACCAGAGGAATAATGGGAGGAAGAGGAGGAAAATTAGTAACCATGCTGCCATTCTATTTACACACCAAACTAAAAAAAACTATTTATAAATCAAGTTAGAGTTTGCCCCAAGGATCATACAAATTACCAACAAAAAAAGATTAAAAACAAGCAGCAACTTTTATATAAAATTAATAAAGGACAAATGAAAAAGAAATTGTCAGTAGCATCTATCTCCTCACTGTGTCTGAACTGCACTTATACAAACTAGTCCATTAGTACAGCAGCTTGCTAAAAAATTGACTTTGGTTCAAGCTTAGTTTAAAAAAAAAACCATAAAAAAACCACACATAAAAAGGTGGACGGACATTTGTTAGTTTCCCTGCTTGCAGTTCACTAGTTTTGAAGGGTTTTGTTGGGGAAGGACAAAGAGAGAGAAGAGGAAGGGAATTAAGGGTGGTAATTAAATATTCTGGGAAAAAGTAGTAAAAAGAGGCAGAAGAAATTGAGTAAAGGAGAGAAAGGTTTCTGACACTTCAGTGTTCATGTGAATTCCATATACATGAATCACAAATAACAGTGTACTCTTGTGTCTGCATCGTTGTTTTTTTTTTTGATCGCAAGTAAAGAGAGATACAAATACACACAGGGTCCTAGATCCCTTATGGACCTAGGCAAAACTGAAGTTATTTGAAAGAAAACCGCGTGCAAGCGTTTTCTGAACCCCTAGCACCCCACCCCCCACAAAGTGCATTCTTGGGCTCACCCAAGATGAAAGCAAGCACACACAGACACAAAATGGAAGGAAACCTTTAGCTCCAATGGGTTGGGGCAAGCTTGGGGTGACCTGCATTGCAGCGATCCAGTCTCTTTTTGGACATTTTTTGGTTCAGGTACTCTAATGGCGCATCAAAGGAAAGAAATACAAAACAACAGATCTAGTCTCTGAATTACTCCTCATCTCTCCTCATCCATCTTCATGAACTTTTCCTTTTCAACTGGCTCATTTACATGGACCAGAAACGACCCTGAAAACAACTTCAGAAGCTGCTTGCAGTCCGAGAAGAGATGCCCATGAGCAGCAGCATCACTAACAAACCACAAAGACCCTTCAGGTGTGTGCAAAGTCCCTGCATCTGGTCAAAAGACATGGCTCTCTCTTTCACAGGTTATGCAGCTCCACTGGAAGGCCCAAGGCCTCCTTCAGTCAAGAGTACCATTAGGGTGGTGGCAAGAGATACTTAAGAAGCCATTTGATGAAAAGGCCTAGCAGGAGGGAAAGGCTATGTTCTCAAAGTCCCTCTCATCACCCCTCTTGAGAGAAACAAAATAAATCAGTGGATAACCATCCAATGTAATTTCTTCAAGGAAAAAACTACATGGGAGAAAGGCTGTCACCATTTTAGTAAATTGATTTGTACTTTGCCAAGTAAGTTAAGTTAGGTGAGAGAAACCTGAATATCATGATAAAGTCATCCTCCACTAAATTAAATAACATTTTCATGAAATAAGAGTGGAGGAAAACTACCAAGTCAGGGTTTGCAGTAGTCATTGCTCTTTAGAACCAAACCCTGACTTGCAACACATCCATGTCTTCCACACAAAGTAAGAGAGAGCACAGGGGTGCCCTGAGGGTAGGTTATTCAATGTTTCGGGGTGAATGAGAGCTACAGCTCAGCAGGAATTTCTTCCTGCACAAAAGTGCTCTACAGGCACCACCTGATGTGGGGCATTTGCACACACTGCCCTCCTTCAGCTTCTGCATCAAGCCTCTTGCATAAGTGACCAAAGAAAATTATTTTCTAGCACCTCTGTAAGAGTCAGCAAGGATGAGGAAACCAGCAAGAACATTCCCCAAAGTTAAGAACATAAACTCTTCCCTTGCCCCCAATACTCCTCTCCCCACAGCATGGGAGCTCACTGAAAAAGAATCCAGGAGCAAGAGATAAACATGTCCAAACTAGATATATATAGATATATATATATACATATACATATGTATATATATGGTTATAAAAATAACAACAACAACAATAATAATAATAATAATAATAAAAGAGATACAGTAATACAGGCCTGCCTAAATTGTACCAGTTAAGAAAGGAACCCCCAACACAATTGATACGATTATAAACACCTTGTTATGACATAATGGCCTGTACAACAGACCCATAAAAATGATTTTTTTTTAAAAAAAGAAAAAGATATTTAGACAAACAAGAAATCCCCTTCCTATGTTGGAAATGTTAACCCACCTTAACTTGTCATCGTGACTGCTGGAAATGATAAGTAGTCCTTTTACTTAATTTTTTTGTTTTTTTGTGTTTTTGTTTTTTTACATTTTTGGTTAGAAAGTTCTCCAATCCATGAAGCAATCCTGAAAAGACAGTGTTTATTACAAAATTAGGCAAATGTCTGTCCCATCTTTCCATCCTTCCTGTTTTTGTTTGTTTTCCTTCTCTCCCTTGTCCCCAGCAACACGGTGAGAGGAAGCCAATCATATTTTCAGTTTTAAACCCAGCCAGTAGCCAATCACTCTGCAAAGTAAAGAAGGCTGGTGGCAGCCCGGCTCGGCCCAGCTCACTGTGCCTTAGAGGCAGTAGTGGTGGTGGAAGCAGCCCCACTAGCAGAGGCCACAGTGAAGAGAGAGTTTTGGATGGACTCAGCTGAGGTGGAGGTGGCATGAAGGCTGGCAACCGGTCCAGAGGTCCCTGCGGAGGCTGCAGCTGCAGAGACCAGGCTAACTGGGTTGCTGGTGAGCAGAGAGAGGTTCTGAGGATTCAGGAACAGTGGGGCAGTCACGATGTTAGGAGTTCCTCCTGCATTGGCAAATACCAGGTTCCCAGTTGCATCCAGTGATGTTATTGGAAGAGATCCACCAGATGCAAGAGCTAAAGAATGAAACCCACAGATGGGTAGGGATGAGAGTGTTAATATGAAGAGCAGAAGGAAGGGAATTTACAAAAGTCCTTTTAGTATTTCCTTGCTTATGCCAGAGTTCATTACTTTATCACACAAAGTAAACTGTATTGATAAATCCCAAATGAAGCTAAAGGTTCTACCAAAACTGAAAACTCTAGGCAATCTAATGGTTGTGTTTCTCAACAGCCTAGGAATCTTGGAGGTTAGTTTCCAAGGGTCTACAACCTATTCTGTCCTCCTGAGTTTTAGCACAATATAGTATAGGATGAAATTTATTTTACATAAAGCTTTTACCAGTTCTAAAGTAAGCTGAAGGTTGCAATAATTAAATGAAATATCTACTTGCTTAAAAAGAATATGGAATATTCTCAAGCACAACATGGTTTCTGTCTATTTTCTATAAAGGAAAAGACTCTATCAGACTATTTTCTAGAAGGCTAGAAAAACGTTAGTGACCTAAGTGACCCTACACAAGGCTCTGACTCTTCAATGAAGTCAGGACACATATGTGCATGCACTGTTGTTAGTGCGACCGGAAAAGCATCATCAAAATTCTGGGTAGTGTGCCTGGACATTCCTTCTTTCATTATCCTTCCCTGTGACCTGATACAAGAAACAATTTTTAGCTCTCTCAGCAAAGGTCTACAATTTACTGTTTGTAAGGGGTAAGAAAAAATGCAAATTTGCATCTTCCTTGTTGGCATAAAATAAATTAGTTCACTATATAAGAATGTATATGCATGTATGTATGTGTACATGCATGTGTGCATGTCTGTGTGTATGTATGTACACACACACACACACACACACACACACACACACACACACACATTGTCAGGAATGATTACCAGATGGTGGTCCCCTACTGTACGGCATTAGAGTACAGTGGTATTGTAGGGCCTGCTCTGGCCTTTGATGGTGCATGTGATCTCTGGGCTGGGGGTGAAGATCTACTTCTAGGTACCATCCCATGCCTCCCAGGGCCCTAAGGATAGATAGTAAGTTTGTGCCCTCTGGCATGGATACTTTGTCCCAGATCTCTGATACCTTCAAATAAGATCACTGATAGGTATACTAAATGTCCCCAAATCAGAAGTTAGCTCATTATTTTAAAAAGGTCAACTTCAACAAAAAATTTCTCTATAAGGAAGGACTTCCCACCCTTGGCAATCAATTTTATTTATCATTTTGTTGAAATTATAATAGAGCAGAACAATTCAAACACTATGCTAGAGTTAGTTGTAATGAGAAAATTTTGAGTGTGCCTTGATATATGCCACTTCTAGATATTTTATGCCTTTTGTGATTATTTTCAGGGTATCTTCTCTATTATTTCCTCCTGGATTTTGTCATTACTACAAAGCCATATTATTGATTTTGGTACCATGTTACTTTACTGAAGCTAATACTGGGTCTTCAACTATGCTGATGCTGTGGAATTTCCTAACACCATCATCCAATTGGCAAACAGGGATACTTTTGCCATGGTTTATGCCTTTCTCTTCCTCTTGGCTTACTGATCATGCTAGCATCCCTGCTCAGTGGTAATGCGATTTCGTGTACAATATATCCCTACTAAAGGGCTGTGCATATGCCAACAGGTAACTTCAGAACCCCCCCAAATTTAGTTCTAGCTGCCCCACTGCTTGTTTTGCCCCTAATAGTAACTCACAGCAAGGAGAACTCAAAGGTTCACAAAAAGTCTGTACAAAACCCCTGGGAGACAGGATCACAGAGCTGGAGTTGGAACGGACCTCAGAGATCACCTAATCTAACAGCCTGCTTTTTCAGACAAGGCCCAGAGAGACTTTCCTAAGTCATCTGGGTAAGTGAGAAGGTCTGAGATTCAAACTTGGCTCAACCTCATTCTATAGATGAGGAAGTGAAAGCTTTGAAGAGGCTGACTGATTTGCCTGGGTCACACACCCCACAATTCAAGGATACAGGCCACAGGTTTGGAAGGGACTTCTGATTAAGTGTCCAGTAGAGATCTGGACCCCAGCCTCCAGATTCGAAGGCCAATGCACTAGTAACAATGCTAGAGTTCAGCCTTGCAAGGCCAAGAGCTCTAATCTGATCACGAATCATGTAAGTTATAAAGGAAAAACTAAAGCTCATTTCTCTGACTGATTAGTGTTGTTACTTAAGTATCTTTTCTTTGAATCCTCTCAAAAGATTTCACAGTAACTAAACCAATCAGGCTTTTGGCCACCATACGCCCTTTGTTTTGTAATGCTTGAATGTATTTATTTGATACCATTGTACACTGTCTGTGTTGGTGTCTCATTCCTTTTCTGGACTGTAAGCTCCCTGAGGACAAGGGCCATGTTCTATCTCCTGGAGTTCCTTGCATGACTCTGCATATAGCAGGAGCTGAAGAAGTATTTGCTAAATTGTATGTGACAGGCACCTCGAGGGGTTAACCTGCTAAAGAAATGATTTCTTTTTGGATGGGCTGTGTTCCTTCAGAAGGCATGAAGTAGAGTTTTGACAACACGCTCTCACTATGGAGCTACAAGAATCCAAGAATGAGTCATCCATGGAATGTTAGTAATGTTTTTAAAAAGAGCAAAGTATACTTTCAAGGAACCTCATCGTGCAAAGAGCCCCAAATGCCTAGAAGCTTTAGGGGGACAAAGCTCATTAAATGTTTGAATATCGTGGGCTCTATCTTCAGGCTCTTTATACTTCCAGGGGGAAATTCTTATGAAGAGAGCAGAGTCCAGCATGTTAAAATTTTCTTTTAAATCAATTCTACGTGATATACTTACTGTACTACAGGATCATCCCATACTGGATGGCCCCAACTGTCACAAAGTACTCCTAGCTCTTCCACAGGAAAGTCTGGCAAATACCTGGGAGTCAGTAACTGTTATTTCTTCCTCAGCAGCCCACTCTTCTCTCCCCCTACCCATACAACTTCTCTTCCAGAGTGAAGGTCATCCTTCACTGATTCTCACAAAGCATGATCTTACATTCTCTCACGGCTCTGGATGCCCTGCTAGGGATGCTCTCTATCTAGTTTATCAGGGCCCACAATTGACACCAACTCTAGCTATGCTGTGACCAGGGCCAAATGCAAGGGGAACACTACCTCCCTGCCTCTCTTTTGGCGGCCTTGAACGAGATGTGCTGCTTTGGCTGTCAGATGGTTCACCTGAGTGCCGCTAAAACTAGCCAATCTTTTTCAGATGATCTGTTATACTGCCAGGCCTCCCACAACTTGTCACTTGTGAAGGTGACAACTATGCAAGGCAATGATTGGAACTTCTATCTTGCAGAAATCAAACAAAACCCCCCACCTTATTAATATTTTATTTGGGACAGTTCTTTGGTGGGGAAACAAAAAACCTTGATTAAGAAGAAAAAAGTTTCTTTGTGAAAGACAAGACTGAAAACATCTCAACTACCATATCCTTTGAACTTGCAAGACTGAAAATGTAAGCATATTTATAGAGTTCATACGGGGTTACAAGCAAGCCATAAATATAAGCAGTATAAAACTTTGATTTCCCAACTCACTTACCTGTGTTGCCAGCGTCCAACCCTAAACCAATATGTGTGTGTTATTTTCTGTTCTGGATCCCCAAATAGCAGCTACCTGTCTTGCAAAGCGTCTATCCGTGATGACATACTTTCTCTGTCCTCAAAAAGATGGATAATCACCAATCTTGTGCTCTCACCCTCCCACCTCATTTCCCAAAAGGAATGGCCAACAATGGGAAAAATGCGACTAACCTTGAATGGTCGCGAGTGTACTGTTGCTCATCAGAGCTGGGCTGAGAGCACTGCCCAGTGTCCCTGGGTTGAGACTGAGTAAGGCACCTCTGCAGTTCCGAGGGAGGGAACAAAGACAGGAAGAAGTAGTTACTTTCCAGTAAAATCTAGCATCAGTCTTAGAATTAGCCATATAGAGAAAAGAGAGGAAAATACAGTTGGGAGTAGACTCCCATAGCCTTTCCTATAATATCTGATTATCTTTGTACTGTAATATGTTGGAAAGTGCTTCAGAAGCACTGTTTTCCTTTATATTTACTAAAGCAAAGCTGTTTGCTGAAAAGCATTACTATTTACACAAATCTTTAAAAAAAATTATTTTTAATGCATTTAGATGCATTCCCCTGTTGCTTCTCAAAAGAAAAAAAAATACTTTGGTCCAAAGACTTAAATTTTCAAGAACCTTCTCACATTTCCTATAGTGATAACATAAAATTTGGGAACTGTGCAAATCTCTCTGTTTACAACCTGAAATAACAGAATAGATCACAAAAAAACAATGCTACAATGCCTTTGCATTTCAGATTTAGAAACAAATAGCTGAGGTTGTTAACTAGAAAAAGCAAGGGACTGGGTGGGTATCAGGATGGTTTACATTTATTTTCTGACTCTACTGCATGGACACTTTATTTTATGGTGTGTACTGTGACTGACTACATAGCTTGGATATTTTGAGAGAAACCCAAGGTCAAGAAAACAAAGAACTGTTATCAGATCACGTGTGCCAGTTCTTGCTCCGGTAGCTGGAGGTACGTACTGCCCTCCTGACTTTGTACTTCAAAGTGTACATCTGCAGCATCAAGGTATTGGCCACCTGCTCTTCAGGGTATTGTGAAATTTATTTAAACCTACCTAAGACACTGTGAATTTCTTTAAAGAACAGTTAATTATAAAGCCTTAAAAACAGAAATATTTTGATTAAGAACAGAGGGTGGTGAAAAGACTTTGCTCTAAGTAATGTGAACCCCTCCTTCCTTCCTCATTCATGTATTTCATGAGACAGCAGAGAAAAGTCAGCTCCTTACCCAGCTGCAAACTGTGAGGGTGCCATCAGCCCTGGACTTAATCCTGCTGCAGCAGCCATTGCAGCAAGACTGGCATTTGCAGGCAACTGGGCAGCTCCCTGGAGAGCAGCTGCTGCTGTCTGCAGCCCGGATGCCGTCACCATCACCTGGCTGGTCCCAAGAGGGGAGGACAGAGGGGCGGAGGTGGTCTGTGTCGTGCTGGTCTCGCTGGCACTGGACGCCTCCGAGGCGGAGGCAGAAGGGGAGGGGCTCAGAGAGGGGGGTGTCACTGCTGAGGAAGCTGGAGGTGCTGTCGAAATCACTGTTGTGGTGTTGTTGGAGGTGGTTTCTGTAGCGCCTGAAAGGACGAGCTGGATTAGAAAGTGGAAACTTCAACCTGAAAACCCTTCTTAAGTAAAAAATGGTTTTTTGGGGAAATGAATACAGTCCTAATTATGCCTTTTGTTTTTACATCACCTACCCCTCCCCATCTCCTCACTCGGCAAACCTTTTCTTCTAACAAAGGTTAAAAAAGAAAAGAAAAAAACAGTTCTGCAAAAACAACATATCCAGAACAACTGATACCATGTACAACGTACTTCCTAAAAAAAGGGATGAAGGCCCACTTTCTTGACTCTCCTCCAGGGCTGAGCTTCTTGGCAATTATAATCATACAGTTTTCAGTTTCATTTTATTGTTCTTTTCACTTATATTTTGTAGTTATTGTCTATTGTCTTCCTGGTTCTGCTTCGTTTGGTATCAGTTCACATGTCTCCAGGTTTTTTCTGAATTTTTTTTGGTGGATATTTATTTATTTTGGATGATTTGCCATATTTTATGTCAGTAAAATTCAATTTTATTCACACATCACACTTTGTTTAGCTATTTTCCAAGTCAATGGAAATATACTTTCTTTCCAATTCTTTGACACTGCAGTGTTGCAGTGAATATTTTGGTTACAGGGGATCTTTGTGCCTTTGAACTCCATGGAGGCACATGCCTAAAAGTAGGATCTTAGAAGAGCTGCTTTTCTCAAAGACAGCGGGATCATCTGCACAACTAGACCACCAACACTCATGTTTTACCTGGCTTTTTTCTCTATAGCTATTTCTTTATGTTCTTTCCTAGCTTGATTCAACAGCAACTACAAAAAATAATCTTAATAAAAGAATCTTAAGTAAAAACAGAAATACAGTTTTGAATCTTAAATATGAAAAGCCAAATACACAAAAGAAAATGAAAAGAAAAATAGGTAGAACTCACTATCAGCTTCCATCTTAGGGACAAAAGACCATCATGGGACATCACCTCAGGATGAGAGCAACTGCCCTGAAAAAAGAGGCTCATAGTGGCCCCCCCAAAAAAACTCCCCAATAACAGCCCTTCTGAAATGGTTCATCTTCATCAGGAAGCCTGAGATTTCTTTAGAGGTCTGAACAGAGAATAAAAATTAACCCAAATATTTTTTGATGGGGTAAGAATAGATGTAAACACTAATTTCCACAGCTACTGGTCTAAGAACAACACCAACTGTCCCATTTAAATATCTCTTTTTCATTCAGGGAGCATTTGTAGTTCTCAAGAATGAGCTTTAAAGAAGCATGCGTGTGTGCTTTATCACCAAGGCAGCAAAACCTCCCAAGTTTGACACTCTGATGTCATGAACAGGGGAGCCATGAGATTACTGTTGGTGAGCTTTTACAAAATCAAGGTCCTAGGAACGCTTTAAGGTGTAAGAAGAATGGCCAATATCTAAACAGAAGTAATTAATGTCAACGAGAACTTCTGAGATTAAAAACCAATCCACTGAACTGCTTTAAGATGGTAGAAATGCCTGCAAATTCCTACAAAGTATTGATATGATGCATCTCCACCCCCCCCCCCAAATCCTTTAATGTCAAAGCATAAACTATCTCGGGAGGGGAAAGGAAGCAAATCCTTCCCCTGATTCACAACTTCACTGACATTAGGTGATTAGTAAAAAACTGTAAGAAGAGGAAAACAGTGGAGATCTTTGTGCTACAGACACCAACTTAGTCATCTAGAACAACTAATGCTATGGGGGCCAAGTGGATCTTACTTTAATTAGATTAATTCTGCGAGACTGACATGAATTGATACCAAGTGAAATAAGCAGAGGAAGAAAAACAGCATACCCAAAGACAACAATAATGTAAATAGAAAGAAACACCACCACAAAACGAATGAAGGTTGCAAAATGACAAAGAACAAGCTCGGCCCCAAAAAGAGATGAGAAGATGCCTCAACCAATCCTTTGCAGAGGGGATGGGGTCCATGGGTGCAAAAGCCTGCATAACACCTTTCTCCCCCCAATAAATTTTTCAATGTATTAACTGGATTTGCTAAATTTTCTTTGTATTCTGCTACGTGCTAGTGACAGAGTACCAAAGAAAGAGATATAAAAAATATACTTCTGATGGAATAGGCAACATAAAGCCATAGCTCTAGAGCCAGAGGGCATCCTAGACACCTTTTTGGGTCCAGTTTCATCATTTTATAGTTGAGAAAACTAAAGTTCACATTAGATGCCTTGTACAAGGTCACACAGGTAATATGTCTTGATTAGGAAAATAATCATAGGTTCAACCCTCTATGTCACATTTCCTTCATTCTGTAGTTCATTGTTCCATCTTCCCAATATCTATTCTAAATTTTCTTCTTTGTAATTCTCATTTGTTGCTACTAATTCTGTGTTCTAGGAACAAAAAGAGCAGGTCAGCGTCCACTTCCATATGAGAGACCTTCAAATAGCTCAAGACAATGATCAGTGCCCTTTAGTCTTATCTTCTCCAGGCTACCAATTCCCTTGACCTATCTTCATAAAGCATGATGTTAAAGGTCCTCTGCTAGCCTGGAAGCATTCTTTTGGATGCTTTACAGCTTACCCAATTTTTCTCAAAATGTGGGGTTCTGAATGCTTTGCCTTTCCTTCCCTTCCTTCTTTCTGGAGTCCGATTGGGGTGAAATAACGTGGCCAGGGTCACAGAGCTAGTGAGTGTCTCAGGCCAGGTCTGAACTCAGGTCCTCCTGCCTCCCAAGTTGGTTGCTCTGTCCATTGTGCCCCCTTACTTTGCTTTCTTGATGCAGCTCAGATGACTTTAGTTTTGTCAGCCACCAAAGAATCACTCCTCAATTACAGCAGTGAAACCTGCTTTACACCTGACTTGCTGTTTAATGGTCAGAGGGTTGTTCAATGAGTTATGTTTGTTGCTGAATCCTTCCAGGAATCTTGAATGATTCTGACATATAGATTGAGGGTGGGGGGGTTTTCCTTGTTGGAAGGTGCATTTTGTTATACTGAATCAAATATTATATTGTAATCAACAAAGACGGCAGGTTATTACATGCTTTGGATGTCTCAGCTAATTATGAAATGGTGAAGATGTAGTCTACTACAGAGTACTATTTTAAATACTAATACCCTCATTGAGGATATATGTCCTCACCTGACATAGAGTTTGTACAGATGAGGTATGTTGTAGAAATGAGAGATAGGTCAGCATTTACTAGTGGTTTTTTTTGGTGATATTTATCGTTTATAATAAAGCTTGAGATTTTTCCCCCCTAAGTCTTTGGTATCTATCTTTATACACCCTTCCCTTCAGATACCTTGCATAGTGGTCTCTCAACACTCTCACAACTGTGTCTACTTCCAGTATGGATTTCCTCTACATATATCTGGTTCATCTTTCTGCTTTTGTTTTTATTCTCTTTATGTCATCCCAGTCCGTCTAATAAATATATATCCAGGACCATGATGTTAGGCCAAGTGTAGTAATTCTACTGTTCTTGATGGAGAAAACAGTGTGGTTCTATTTTTGAAGGAAATCTTGAATGATTTTGATATGTGAATAGGAAAAACCATGTTAAAAAAAATCTGCAGGGTGTCATTTTATAATGATTTCTACAAATCATTTTGTTTTTTTCCCCCCCTAGTTTTATTTCTTTTAGGGTCCTTCTATTTTCATTCTTAAATTCTCTTAGGAAAACTTTGCTTAGCTGGACATCTTGCCATGTTTTCTTGAAACCGGTTTTATTTTCATCGCTTTTCTCTGCTTTATGAGACTCTGTAAATACACATATATCTATGTATATGCAAATACACACTGCTTCATAAAGCAGAAAATACACATACCCACACATATAAGTACATATTTATAAATATACATAAGTGTGTCAACATCTATCAACCCATGTATGGACACAGATTTAGATACACACACTCTGATACTTGGTGACTTTAATGCAAAAGTAGGGGAAAGGTGAAGATGGGGAGAAATATACTGGAAAGCATGGTTCAGGAAGAAGGAAGCCACAAATCTATAGATTACACAAAGCCCTAAGCCTTTATATCATGAACACATTCTTTGAGAAAAGAATTGTTAAGTCAGAGCAAGCACCAAATAATGCCTTAACAAAAGAAATAGATTAGATTGCAAAAGACAAGGAAACACTTATGGATGAGGTAGTTATTTTCAAGGCTATCTACTCATGAAAGCCAAGATAAAAATTAGTAAAAAGATTAAGAAAAAAAAACAGGAAGAATGGAAAAAAAAGATAGGGTACAGTGGAAACAACATAATCCTCAAACCAATCAATCAACAAATATTTATTAGCTGCTTACTATGTTTCAGCAGCTGTGCATGAGCTGCAGATACAAAGATCAAAAACAATGCCTTCCCTCAAGGAACTGACATTCTAATGTAAAAGATAACATGTGTCAATCAGAACACAGAAAGACAGAGCAGACAGGAGGGAACCTTAGAGGCAGCAATCAGGAAAGGATTCCAGGAGGATGTGGGGCTTGAACTGAGTCTTAAAGGAAGTCAGAGGTTCTAGAAGGTGGAGTTTGGGAGGGAGGCCATTTTTAAGCAAGGAACAATAATCAGTGCAAAAATGAGGGGGTGGGGGAAGTGTCATAGGTGACACTCCACCCCTAAAGTGGGCTGGTTGGTATGGCTGGAATTTAGTGTGTGTAGAGGAGACTGGAATGTAATAAATTGCAAAAGGTTAAGAAAAGGCCAGGCTGTGAAGAGCTTTAAGTGGCAAAGTACTTTATTTTTTTATTTTTTATTTTTTTTTGTTTTTAGGCAATTGAGGTTAAGTGACTTGCCCAGCGTCACACAGCTAGTACATGTTATGTGTCTGAGGCCGGATTTGAACTCAAGTCCTCCTGAATCCAGGGTCGGTGCTCTATCCACTGCACCACCTACCTGCCCCAGAACCCATTTTTTCAGTCACTTTTTGGGGGGGGGCGGGGTGGGGGATAAGATCTGAGATTTTTTTTTCTAGGCCTTTGTCTTTTGTTTCTCTTTCGACAACCTTGAAAATCAGTTT